CCTGTCACCAGCATCTTGGAATCTTCCTCAGTGCCGCGCGAAAGCTGGGTTCGACTCCCAGCCAGGGAGATGTCTTTGAATGATACAGTACTTTTGGGCAATTTTTAGATCTCTTTTCGCTTATGAGACCGGTAAAGATTTCAAGCAAAGTTTACAAACAATACACAAATGACCTCTTTCTTCTTTCATTCTGTTTTTGCAAGCGGAAATAAGTATACGACCAGTTGTCTTTTTTTTGGTTTTGTTTTATCTATTTGTTTATTTTTCATTTCCTTTTCAAAAAAACGAAAATTTTTGTATGCTTGATGGGTGTATGTACGTGTCTTTGGGAAATCCCCACCGAGAACTTGCGGTGGAACAGGAGGTTATGGGGCCAGGGTAAGTATGTATACGGGTATACATGATGCGAGTTAGATGAGTCTAGCTAGCTACAGAGGGAAATCCCAAACAAAGATGTAGGGCTGGGTTCTACGAATAAAGATGCAAAGGGAGTGGATGAGAAGCAAGTAGGAGGATAAAGAAAGAGGGGAAGTTGATTTGGTTGTCAGAGATTTCGAGGAGCCTTTGACGAGGGTTTTTTTGAAAGGATGTAAGGGAGCTGTTTGGTACTAGTAAGTAAGAGTGCAAGAGGGATCTTGAATGTAGGGGTTGGTTTTGTCTGTTCCCGGCACGACGAACAATACTTATAGTAAGGAAGGGAGGGGGAGGTGTAGTACATATCTCTGTTTCTCTCTTGCCTCTCGAGAACGATAAGGCTCGAAAAGATTCAACCTTTGAACGAATCCATGGACTGCCTTGTCACAGACCGTGGCACTTACTTGATAGTAAATTACGAGGCCGACCGAAGGAAGTATTTCGTCCTTACTCAAGTTGTATAGTGATCGAGTTTATGATCGAGTTTAGACCCATTTGGCATATCGTTGATCTTATCACTGTCGGAGGTATAATTATTTTTTAGGGATATCATCGGCCTCATACATGGCCGCGCGAAACGACGGCCCTCTTCCTTCATTCTTAAGCCAGTAAACTCATAATACACAAAAAACTGTGTATGTCTGAGTCTCAAACGTTTATTGCCAAAGGCTTGATATCTATAATTGGGGGGTTAGAACACCCGGATAAGGGAAAGACAGAAGAGAAAACTAACAACTCCCTGGTAGTATATCGGTTTAGTACACGCGCCTGTCACGAGACCTCTGAATCCTGATCGTGGTTATACCGCGCGAAAGCTGGGTTCGACTCCCAGCCAGGGAGATTTTAGGATTAGATACCGTTTTTGGACAATTTTTAGATCTCTTAAGTACTTATGGGACCCCCTAACGAGCAAAATACACAAAATAGCTTGCTCTCGTCTCTCTTCATGTCTTCATGCACTGTGTTTTGAAAGCTGAAATATAAGATACACACAACGGGTCATGTTTTTGTGGTTTCATTTCGTTTATTTCCATTTCGTTTTCAAAAAAGATATTTCGTACGCGACTAAATGCGTGTAATTGTACGTGTCTTTGGAAAAAGAATCCCGCACCGAAAACTCGCGGTGGGGAACAAGGTGTATAGGTATGTATGTATGTATACGCGTAAACGCGTGTGTGTGACGTGTTGTAGATGAGTCTAGCTAGCTACAAAAGAGAGATAAAAAACTGAACAACGATGCGGGGTTTTTACGAATACAGATGCGTTTTGTCGTCAGAAGAAAGAGAGCAAGAGAAATAAGGAATAAGAAAGCGAGACAAAAGACTTGTAATGATAATGATACATATGATAATGATATGCGAGAATTGAAAGACATCACTTGGATTGAGACGGAGGTACTAGCCCCTGGATAACGCATCATGTAACGCTCAGCGTCCAGTCGTAAAAAGAACATCATTCAGTTATAATGGAGGGAAGGGATAAGGAGGAGACTCTTCTTCATTCAAAAAGTCGTCGCAGCTCCACCCAAACCCAACTCGACACCTCTCATAACTCGGCTCACATGTCTAGGTTTGAACTGTTTAACGTTCTTGACCTGGACATGTTCGATAGCACGAGCGTACTCTTGTGCGACCTCCGCGTCGACGGTGAGGTTGGAAGAGTTGGTAGTGGTGGTGAGAGAGGAAGAAGTGGCACGGGAACGCTTCATCTTGTTGGGAGTGGATCGGCGCTTCCTGCATGCTTGACCTGACGAGGAAGAGGAAGAGGCAGATGCCGAGCTGGAACTAGAGGAAGCGGTGGAAGAAGCAGAGGGTGCAGCTGCAGCGACAGGGGAGGAAGCGGGGGTTTCAGTGTCAGCAGGAGCTGAGTCTGAAGCTGAAGAAGAGGGTGCTGAAGCGGAGGCGGATGTGGAGGAAGAAGAGTTGTCGGAGGAGGAAGAAGACCCGGAAGAGGCAGAACCAGAAGAAGCACCAGAAGAACCATTGTTGGAACCTGACGAGGACGAGGACGAACCACTACTAGAGCCAGAGTTGTCGTCAGAAGACCCGCCAACGGCTAGTTTGACGACAGCAGGGCCGGGGAACTGATATTTGCTGGCAACGAAGTTGGTGTAGACCTGTACACAGATAATGATGCGTTTAGAAACCAGTGTTGTTCCAGATACGGAAAGAAAAAAGCAGAAATAGAGAAAAATTTTAGACGCACATCAAGTTCAATCCCAGCATCGTCATCATGATAAGCGCCAGGGAAAGAAACCAAATCGTCTTGACTAGGTGTCTCATCTCCATTACCTCCAACCTTCAGTTGCGCACAGCTAGGGTAAAACTCGGCACCGCCCTCGGAAGCAGCGCCTTGGAGGGAGATGATTTCGTGTCGAAGAAGGTAGTTGCCGGATTTGAGACCATCAGGGATCGTGACGGTGGCGGGCTCGCCTTGGGTGAGTTTGGCTTGGTCCCAGGTACCGTCCGAGTTGGCACCGGCCTCGTCGATCTTGAACCATTTGGCGTTGGAAGCGTCAAAGTCGGCGCAAGAGCCAGAACCGCAGGATGCCATGTAGGTGAGCATAGGGCCGACGTTGTGAATCCACTAAATCAAACAAAGAAAGATGTAAGAATATGGGAAAAAACGCGACATAGGGGGGAGGTATAACTCACGTTGCTTCCAGCACTTGTCCACTGGATCTGAACTTTATCACCAGATTTAGCGTCAGCCATTTGAGTAGCGGGCGTAGCATCTTGACCACAAGCAAGGTTCTTGTTGTCTGCACCCTTGACAGGGTTCACGTTGCTAATCTGACGAACAACGCTATCGGGAGACGCGCCGTTGGAGTTCTCGGTAGGTTTGGGACCATCGTAAGTCTTTCCGCCGACAGTGATGGACTGGACCTAACCAGGGGCAGAAACGTAGCTAGCAAGAGCGAGGGAAAGGAGGATGGAAGAACGCATTATATGTATCAATTTGGATTTTTGCGTAGAGACAGTCGAAAGGTTGGTTCAAAATGGAGTGGGTTGTTTGAATGAGGGGAAAGGGACGCTCAGCGAAAAAAGAGACACGAGTCGTCCGTTCTGGTCTGGTTAAAGAGAATGGGATGGGGTTGGGTCGTGAAGAGAAAGGGTGGGAAAGGAGAAGGGAGAAGGAAAAGGTATGTACTTACACAAAGAACGGAAGTGTTGGAAAACATCTGTGGAGTCGATGATTCGCGTGTCACGCATCACACACCATTTTCAAAAAAAAACCCACCATTATTTTTTTCTCAACTTTTCCGATTTTCTGAGATTTATTCTTAACGCCGCTGGCGCAGCTTCCCCGACTCCAACTTGGGTTGACGGTGCTAGAGGGTTGCTAAATAGAATTATCCCCCAAGAAGCAATGCCGTTAATTGATCATGACAGGTGGCGCTACAAAATTAAACTTTTGGCACGTATGAGTCTAGAGACAAAAGAGAGAAATAGCCGCGACTCCTAACAGTACATATCTGCATTCTAGATAAGCTTGCCTGCCTAGTTTGGAGTCATAATCCAAATCTAGCATTCAAATGGATCATGTACGCATAACTGGAAACAGTAATTGATCCGCTGTCTACGACCCCTCTGCAAAAAGAGAGCCGATACATTTTCTAATGTGGATTGTCGACATGGGTTGCCAAAGTACGATGAAGAACCTGAGAACCTCCGCACCATCTCTAAGTCAGAGGGAATGGTTAAATTAAAAGACGGGAGATAGCAATCAGGATGAAGTATAGGGCTAGTAGTGCCAGCTCGAGACTGGTGATTTGCGGTAAATGAAGACTAGACGCTTCCTAACGGACTGGACCGTGTGTAGTATGCATAATACGGAATTCATTTCGAAAGAAATTGAATGCCGACACAGTCTAAGTACTAAGCCGCGTGAGCCTAGATTAATCATGACTGGAATTAGTAGTGAATCTAAGAACTCTTTGACTTTCAAAACATGCAAGAGACCTGCCGAAGAAATACATATCTGCAGGGCAAGTTGAAGGTACTATGAGGTCGGTTGTAGTTAAGGGAACTTGACTCTCCTTGAAGGGCCGTAAGCACTCTCTATCGGATGTCATAGGTATGATGACGAGCCGTTCAGTATTGAACTTTACGGTTTGATGGGTGACGAGCTATAGCTACAGCTATTAGTATCTGCAAAATTCTAGAGACAAGATGACCAACACTTAGTGTTCTGTATTTGTGTGCCTCATGTAGGCTAACTATTTTCGGGAACTCCGCCTTTCCTTTGACTGCCCAGCATCGATCACTGACTCGGACTTCCACTCCACAAAATCAGTCTCCTTGATGTGCCATCTGGGCTACAAATATTTCTTAAAATGGTTAGCTTACACGAAGCACACTCACAATGGTAAATACAGACTGTTACGAGGTCATTTTGTCTCTAAGGTAGGGGACATCCATACCCAACTAACCCCACGTGATCAAAGCGTGACAGGCCATATTTGGAAGTAAATCACTATGAAATTCGAAGAAATTGACCTCAAATATTTTCAGCCTCACAGAGGGACAATCCGGTCCCAACAGTTTGTTAGAAATGTACTTTGGATCATGTGGCATCTGGAATTTTGGTGTGAAGATCAAATCTGATAGAGGAGTTCCAAAAACAAGTTTTTAGGTGCGTGTATGGGCCCATTCATCAAGTTCTTTCAGAAGGTCTCATGGATGACATATCTAGGGTAGAGATAGTCTAAGTGTACAACTAGCCTTGAGATAATTCATTCTTGGTGCATATAGCTTGTAATTATGCATCCGACACCATGTACATACTTAATCTTTGTTTTTTTAGTAATTTCGGAACTCCTCCTGCAGATCTTCACCAAAAATTACTGTGCTTGATTTCTGAGCTCTTTAAAGTATTCTAAACAAACTGTTGGGGGCCGATAAGCAATATAGCCCCTCGGAGATTATCTGAGGCCCTTCTCCAAGAATTATCGCCATAAAAGGTAGTGTGACAAGCCGTGACTTTGATCACGTGGGGTTAGTTGGGTATGGATGTCCCCTACCTTAGAATTTTGCAAGGAGCTGTAATCAGTAGCATTAAATTATTCCATAGGCCGAAGATGTGGAAATAGGATTGCCAGTCCGGACGGACGAGCTTTTGGAAAGAGCTTGACATTTCGATTGTCACGATGGACGAGGTCGGAGAGAAGTGAGGTTGGCCGATATCCATTGATTAGTTAGTTTGACGGGCAAGGTGCGTGGGATTATTCTATCCAGCAACCCCTATGACACAATCAACCCCAGCATCAACCGGGTTGCTTATTTGGCAACCCTCAAACTTTCTCGCCGTCAGGCCGGCCTCGTGGTCGGCGACGCCGAGTGTTCACCAGATGACGTGATGACGTGGTGCTGCTCTTTCTCTTGCTTCCTCCACCATTCATCTCTTTTTTTTGTCCATAAGACTTATAAGCTTAAGGGGACTTAAGGTGTAAATTCATGCAAGTCAATCATTTTAAGGAAGAATAAAATTATATGTGTCAATTTGGATTTTTGCGTAGAGACAGTCGAAAGGTTGGTTCAAATGGAGTGGATTGTTGATATTGAATGAGGGGAATGGGACGCTCAGCGAAAAAAGGAGACACGAGTCGTCCGTTCCGGTCTGAATAAAGAGAATGGGATGGGGTTGGGTCATGAAGAGAAGGGAAAAGGGAGAAGGAAAAAGGTAAAGGTTGGAAAACATCTCAGCGCAAGCTTAAGCACTAAGTATGATTCGCGTGTCGCGTGTCACGCGTCACGCATCACGCACTGGCACCATTTTCAGAAAAAACCACCGTTGATTTTTTCTCAACTTTTCCGATTTTCTGAAGATTTATCATGGAA